AAAAAAAGTAGAACGTTAGCAAATATTGTTTATATCTATAGAGTTGATTGATAATTTTGACAATATTTCAGTTCCATGAAGAGAAAAATCGCAATATTTTCTACATCTAATGACTGCGAATGATACATAGTTGAGCAAGTCAACTCAAGTCTAGTCAGGGTGTGGTTGTGCATTTGGATGTGACTCCTCTCTTCACCCACACCCTTCGTGTACGGTAAGATGGGTCAATAATCAAAAGCTCGGTAATTTCATCAACAAGCTGTTGAGATTGGACAACGATCACTACTTGTCAATGATCATCGTTTTCAACAATGGCGAAACAACCTCACATATATAAAAAGAAAATATAGCTAATTGTTTTTTTTTCGAAAATAGAAGTCAACTAGAAAATATAGCGTACATTTATAAAGTTCAATATGTTTGAGTTTTTTGCAATATGAAGCGTTATAAGGCACACTGACTATGGTCAACAAGTCACCTTTAAAGCTAATTTCTTGTACTAATGGGAAAAATAGAGCAGTAAGACCTAAGGACTCGTCAGTATGAATGAAATTTTTGAATAGACTCTTCAGAATTAACAAACAGTTTATTCAAAATCATTGAAACAAACAGCCAAAATTTGGATTTTGTTCTCGTATCTTTTTCACTAATTATAATCGCTATCTACTCTCTTCTGATGATGTCATTTTGCTCATCATATTTTTCAAATTGTGTGAATCTTCGAGTAATGAAACCATTGACTATAATTGAGCTTTGACTACAGTTTCAGGTTACTGATGTATGTAGCTCTTATCATTCGTATAACTGATAGAAGGCAACTCAATTGATTTTGGCTATGACTTCAAATTTTTATTGTTCCAGAAACCCTGTCTGTAACAATTATCAAAAATAAAAACTTCTTTTTCTGTTAATCAACCATTTTCATAGTATATTATTTTTATTATTATTCTTTTAAATATTTATACATTGCCAGCACATAAGAGAAAACAGAGAAAACGTAAAAATATAAAGAATGAGGGAGAAAAACCCAAAGACAAAAGAGCCAAAGGAGAGGAGATAGTACATGTTCTTGTCCTACTTCGAACTAGACTATTTAATAATGAAGGTAACGTCAGACATCTTCTTTTCAAATAAGATAAATAATTATTGCTTTTAGGTATGCTATCTTTTATGTAGGATTGTTCAGTACTTTATCAAAAAATTTTCAAAAGTCACTTTGATCGATTGCGAAAAATTTATCCTCACAGCGTCATGCTTATATCTTTATTATTACAACAGAAGATATTATTCAATAATATGTTATTTGAAAGACTGATACGAATACTCTAGACTTGTATGAAAACATTCGATTCGGGGCTATTTTCTATGAGCATATAAAACAATTTTTGTCGAGTCTCAAGACTTATGAAACACTCTGTACCAGCGGTAGTTCAAGTAAATATACGACATGGGTAACGTATGCTTCCTCATCCACTTATTCACATCCACAAATCCGATGGACACAAATAAAGTTCCGCAGTGTTCCACCATTCAAGTTGCGATTCCTCTTAGACAAGTCGAAGATTCTTGATTGAATTATGAAAGATTCATTAGATGTCTCATCGGCCCACAAAAGCACCATGGAAAGCTCACTGAAAAAAATAAAAGAACATAATAATTCCGAAATTTTCTTCGATTGTTGTGTACTATATGGAGCGCTCGATATTTATTAAAATTTATATGGTACAGTTTTTATGAGACAGCAAAAGTGTTGCTATTTCCTATCCGAAATATATGAAAACTCACACCTTTTGAGTTACCGCCGACTTTCAATAACAAGAAAGAAAAAAGAGACAGAACGTGTAAACATTTAGCTGTGACAGTCATCGTTTTCTTTCGTGTTCTCTTTTCATGTGTCATTATGACTCATTTCATAACGTAATTCTTACTTCATATGGAGAGCAGTATTTTCTCTCAATGTGAAAGATTCTTGCATCAATAACATAATTATGTTTTTTCGCGATTACATTTCGACAGTATGGCCGAGCGGTCTATGGCGACAGTTTTAAGCACTGTTCTCTCGTAGGTTCTTCGAATATTCTTGATCTACGTACCCTTTTTGTTCTTTCAACTACAAATAATTTCGTAAAAGATATCACGTAGAATTTGACTTGCTCAACGAATCCTACTGCTGTCATTTTCAATTTTTTTTTCTTAGGTTTTTTTTGCCCAGGATTTCGTTTTCTTCTCACGATTGTACCGATTTTCAAATCAAATTGAGGGTGTGGGTGTGGAGTGGGGTGGAGGTGGGTGGGTGTGCGTCTCTTAGACATAACACCTACACCCACACCCATGCCCACACCCACATCCACACCCACACCCACCCTCACCCACACACACCCTGGTGAGAGTAGCTAGCTGCGGGTCATTGTCACTGGTTAGCGTCAATTGTACTTCCCATACGCGATTATTCTTTGTTGATTGTTGAATGTCACCTACATGAAATACGGTATGCATTGAAAAGAGAATTTCTTCTTCTTCCCGAAAAGCACTATATTTTTTGATAGGAGCAAAAGGAGTTGTCGATGTTGATACATTATTCGGATCAATTGCCATGATAAAGAGAACACCCACATTGTCTTTATATTTCGGTAATGCGGACTCGATGAACCCTTCTGCTATTTCACGTGTGATACTTGTTGATAAAAAATTATCGAATGACAAAAGTCCACCTTTCGTGTTACGAAGTTGTTCAAAATCTTTGGACAATAATCCTTGACCACGATACACAGTGAATGACCTCTTATATTCATCGGGTCGTTCCTTATGCCGCTGTTCCAATTGTCGATGAAGATGACGAATAAAAAAGCTCATCTTTTATCATAGCTTCCATATCTAGTGTACGCAGAGCACGATTAAACATACTGTACAGAAACATTTTCTTATCACTATACCACCAGACGGCCATTCTCTTATGATATTCATTCTGCAAATAATCCAATTTATTCAGATAGTCTGAATTTCCCAATTCCTTTTTAAGAATATTATGACGACAATAAATTATTAGATCTTGCAATGATTTCTCATTATTTTCATCGATGTCTAAAATGATGTCTTTGAATATTGAAGAATACATGTAAGATGATGGCAATTGATCAAATTCATTTCCTTCATCATCAGCTGATGTTGCTACTTGTTCTATAGTTTGCTTCGAGAGGTAGCTTATAGGTATAGTGTCATAATCGACTTGATTCGTGATCTTTTTCAAGGACTCATAAATGGTTGTGATTGAAATAAAAACACCTTTAATCTTTGTCCATTCTTTTGTCCATTGTTTATGCTTTATTTTACTGCCACAGAAAATGTAAATAGAATCGACTTTTTGCATATCATGTATCTGTGGCACTAGATGTTGACTCAAATCTCCAGAGATAATGACAAATACTTTTTCATCACTCATGTTATTCAAGCACTGAATACAATGCGCTGAATCTTTACAGATTATCACGTCAGTGACAAAAATACGCAATTGTGTGAGTATTTTTTGACAAATTGTCGTTGTCTCATCCCAGCTACTTTGAACCCAGATAAGTGAATAGTTCTAAGTCATAATTTGTCTTGATTGAGTAGTCTGTAGTGATAATGTTACACGTAATGAGTCTTTATCAAAACGTAGGCTTTCCGTTTGCTTTTTTGTTCGTTAATACTAAATGCAGATCGTTGCTTCCTTTACAATCATAAACACGACAAACTATTTTGACAAAAAAAGATTATTCTTTATTTATGTGGACGAGATATTCTGTCTTTGCTTTCGAGTGTTCTACAAGATCTAATTTGATTTTTCTATACTCGCTAACAAACTTTACCTAGTATAGTTCGTACTCAAAGTATGATAAAGCAAAACGAACGAAAGCGAAAGATGAAATAGCAAAATTTATTATATTATTATTTATTTCAATTTTCTTCTGTTCTGCTTGAGTATATAGACTTGAGTATTATTGTGTCGCATATCTTATCTCAGACATCACTTGATGTTCTTCCACTTTTTCAGAGCAACATTTTTTTTCTTTCTCGTAAGAACAATCTCAAGGCTGAGATGTGTATATGCGAGTGAAATAACATAAGGTGATTTCTTACATCTACATCATCATTGGTTATGCTATGGACTTGGATATGAGTTTATCATTTGTCTGCAACTACGCTCCGCAGTCATACGAAAGTTTCATTAAGTTTTTGATTTTTTTCGATAATTCTAATTCTATGTAAGAAATTAAATGTAGGCCGTTTTTTTATATTCAAAAATCATATTGTTGACTTCACTGATAACATCAAGCATAATGAACCATAGTTATTGATTTACTTATAAGTATACAGTTTAGGAGATATGAATCATAGACTTATTGTAGTAAAATATAAATCTACAAAAACAAACTTATATCGCAGTATTATCATCCACAGCTTCGCCGACAAATGATTTGAAATACGATATAACCTAATACTTATAAATAATAGTATTTCGATGAAATAGTTGATATTTGTAAGTTTTCGGATTTTTACTTTTTTAAATATGTTATTCATTTTATTGTAATCAAAATCGTTTAAACAAATACTCTAACTAATATTCCGAATCATAATAAGATATGGATGAAAATACACATTGTTCTTATCCATACATGGATCTCAAATCACGTAACTATTTTATTATAGATGTATTCCCATTTACACAGATATAAAAGATAAAATTAAAGTAGGATGTTCGTGTAGATAAAGTAACACTATTAGCATTTTACTAAGCAACAATTAAACCATTTTTAATCTATGTTTCTCGTGTCATATGATATCAACAGAATAATTTGAAATAATCAATGCAAAATGCACATATAGAAATGTAAACATTTAATTTATTCAAGTCAATGTTTACAGTAAATTAGAAAGAGATGAATGTTATCACGCTTTATCTAATATGAACGTTTCGTATTTGAATAGTTATGTCTACTTTATTAGTAATCATATAAAAAAAATTACATGCGAAAGTTTTTTTGTGTCTCTTTGGCGTCCTGTTTAAGAGATGCTTGCTTTTCTTCTAATTCTCGTTGTTTTGTATTAAGTTCATTTTGCATCGTTTTAATTTCACGTCTTGTTTGATGTGCTTCACCTGATTTTATTTTTGTTTCAAGTTCACATATAATCATTTGTGTATCAACAATAGCAAGAGCTTTATCAAATAATGATGTTGGAATTAAATCACATTTTGATGTCCACATACGAATTTCATTATCTGTTATTGTATTATCAATCATATATTGAAGAACTTGTTGAACATATTTACATGTAATAATCTTTTGAATTAATTCAATTGTTTTTTTCATCAATTAATTTCAATTGAATCAATTCAGGAACTTGTTTTTCTAGAAATAATTCAAGTGCTGATGTTTCAAAAATCTTTTTACTATATTTTGCTTGTTCATCAATAATAAATTCAATTTCTTGTTGTGATTCAAGTTTTTATTCAAAACGGCTAAAACTCATTACGGATTTAATACAGTTCTTTTGTGTTGTTACAACATAACCACCTTAATGATGAATCAGCAACATGATCAATAAAAAACTTAACTATAGGTCGATCTAAAGAAGTATTTTTAATTAAATAACGTGTACGTTTTATATATATTTGTTGAAGATCAATGCCAGTTGGAACCATATTTTTATTGATTTTATTAACTTCAGTATAAATGATATCAACACTTTCTGTATGAACTTCTTGAAGTGTTATTGGAGTTGTACGAAGAATTGATACAGTGGAATCAAAACCATAACTATAATAGATTAAAATTAGAAAACAAAATCAATGAGAAACAATACAAAGAAAATATTTTTCTTTAAACATACTTAATTAATTGATCATCGTTTGGTAACATTGGTGTAAATGCACCCTGTGCAACAAAACGACCATTATCCAAAATAGTAATACTTCCTGGTGCTAATACAACATCACTACTATTTTGTAAATGAACAGCTTTGATTGCATTTAAATCATTTATTTTCGGATCATAATAAAGTACTAACTGTGCATCCATTTGCCATTTATTAATTGTATAAACAACATTTTCACTAAGACCACTCATTTGACTCGAATCAATTGATTCATATTTTTCATCATCATCAGTAACAACTCTCATATTATTAATAAGTCTTCTCTTTTGCATATTTATCGATTCACATTTATCGCCTAGACCATCACGTAATCGAAGTACCAAATGTAGAGTAGATTCTACATAAAAAAAAACCAACAACAACAAACATATAGAATTTACCTATTTTCATTTAAATATTCATAAAGTACCTTTTTGAATATTATAATCAGCTAAGGTTCTTACATCTTCTAATTGTTTCCCAGCAAATATCAGACGTTGTTGATCTATATGAATACCTTCTTTATCTTGAATTTTAGATTTTACTTTTTCAATTCTATCCGATGGATCGATCTGCTGTTGACAAGAAAAATAAACTTGTAATAGATAATCAAGAAATAAATTCTTTTTGTATTCATACGTCTATCGTAATAGTTTTGCCTGTCAATGTTTTAATAAAAATTTGCATACAACCTGAAGATTTTCCATCATTACATTCGGTTTCTTCACCAACAATAGAAAGTCATAAAGGTTGTTTTATTATTATTTAAAATTTGAAGTTCATTTGCAACAAGTATAAGTTCAACTTGAGATCAATCTTCATCTGTTGGATTATTAACTGAACCAAATAAAGTTAGATCAACTATTGAATCAATTTCACATCGATATAAACAACGCCATTCTCTTGTTGGATAACAATAAGATACTTTGAGTTTATTTGATTCATCAACAATATTTGTAGTTGTAATAGCCAATTTTGAAGAAGATGTTAATAAACTATCACTATGAAAAAAAATTGGAACATAATTTAAATCTGTATTTAACGATGACTTATGATTGTCTAATGTTTTTATTAAGACTATATCGAGTTGTTCTTGTAAATATGTATCATTAAGATTAATATTATGAATAGAAGTAACTAATTAAAATAAACAGTTTGTGATTTTTTTTTTATTTGTAAAAATTCTGTTGCTTTCTTTTTTTTTTTTGTTACTTACGATCATAATGACGAATAAATCCATCTTTATTTAAAATTTGAAGAATATAATGCTGTGTCGTTACAGTTGAATTCGGACTTGAATAATGTTTTCACTTCATCGAGCATTATCAATTTACCTGTTTGTTCTTTATTTTCATCTCGAATAAATAATATTAATTCAGCTTCAATACATGTTTTAAGAAAACTAGCAAATGAAGTTGATGATGAAAAATCATTGAAATCAAAATATTGTTCAATTGTATTTTCGGCAACATATTTATCATGTTCTTCTGTATCAAATGTTACTGTACTAGCTGTTGTACATAATGTATCGATTACTAATTTCTTATGTTTTTAATAACACGAATATGTATGACTTCAGTTGACATTATTTTGAAACGTATAGCGATGTTAGTAGTAGAGAGAAAAAATGAGAACAGAGAAAACAAAATAACGAGTAATAACTTTATTTCATCTCTTCTTATATGTGTACTTTAAGAATGTTAAAATGTGGTGCAATTCATATATGTAAACAAACAACACAGAATAATAAAAGCAGCAAGAACCCTGGCTGTCAAGCAACTTAATGCATCCATTATGAGGTATACTAAGCGAAAAAAATATGGCAGTTGTATGAATTTCTACTATGCTGAATTCTCAAACTGCCAAATATAGAAAGCGATATAGCATTGAGCAAATATACACAATTTTGACCCTAATTTTTATTTACGAATTTTCGAAGTCTATCAGATAATTATAACTAAGATACTATCGTTTTATTATTATAATAACAGAACAAACAATTTTATTTATCAAATGAAGATTTTCTATAATAATAATAATAATAATAATCTGTATACTTTAATACTAACCTTAGTTGATGTACCATTAACTTCACTTTGAACATTATCTGTAGCTATTACTAGCACTGCACTCATTTTAGACGAATAAACTATGATTTGTTTAGTTAATCAATTGACAATAGTACCATCATATATATTTCTAGCTTCCAATATATCTTGTTCTCTGATATAACCCGAAAAAAATGATTATTACCCGTACCAGATAAATAAGTTTCTTGCTTTTAAATCAAATATCATAAAATTTCTTAATGATGCATTCTGATTTATCACTATATTAAGATCTTCAAAATCAAAATAAGATTGAAATAATTCTTTTTTTTTCCTGATTATAAAAATAAATGCCTTTCTTGGATTCTATACAATTTTAAAAGTTGAGTGTAGTTTCTTGATAAAATAAGCACTGGTGTCCACATTCGTCAGATTCATCTATATTACCCAGGTCGAAAAGTACCGGCCGGTTCCCGCAGGAAAACACCGGAAATAGCCGGAACATGGAAGCAGTATTCCGGCCGGAAATTTTCGGAATTTTTTCCACTGATTTTCCGCTCGGTTCCTGCCGGAAAACACAGGAAATTGGCCGGAATTCACCGGAAAAAATCCGGAGAATTTCCGGCCGGACTACTGCTTCCATGTTCCGGCTATTTCCGGTGTTTTCCTGCAGGATACGGTGATTTTTCCGGCATTTTCCTGCCGGTTCCTGCAATATCCGGTGGCCGGAACGATCGACCTGGGTAGTCCTAAGTAAAAGGAAACTTTATGTTTTCTACAAATTGATTCAAAGAAGTAGCATTTAAGAGTACTTTAGGAAACAGTATACAGTAGTCTGGACTTATTTTTTCTGGCTAGATTATCCTCATCAGTATAACATATAAATGTTGTATTGAATCAATGAGATGTTCATCTTCTATTATCTTCGAACACATGCTGAATGTCTTTTTTTATTCTGTTAAGCAAGTACAAAAAAAAAAGTCTACAAATGAAGAAGAAGAGCATGGTTCACAGTTGTCCAATCAAAAGTTCTAATTAGAAGATAGTGTTGAAATTGAATGATCATTATCAAGAGATTATCGATATTATCATCATTGTTGTTCTTCTTGTGTGTCTTCACTTATATAAATTGATTGATGATTCATATTACCATTTGGCCGAACTGATTCTTCATGTTGGTTTTTCAGCACGATATCACGATTTGACAGATGTTCCATTTTTTCGGCAAGTGTGTTGAGTCGTTTTTCAAAGTATTCAGGGTGTGGGTGACATGAATACTTATACCCACACCCTCGATGTAGATATGTACGCCATCTTTTGTTTTGTTGCGCTCATTGATGAAAATAGGTGAACCTATAAATTCTTTTGCTTTCCTTTTTACTACTCATACCTAAGCTGTAATATGATAGTCTATCGATAAACAGAATAAATATAGAGCGTTAAGCAAATAGATATCAAATGCACTATGTGTAGCACCCTCTCAGTTTTTGCGATGGACTGAATGTGAGATTTGTGTGAGTCCATAGAGAAAATTATTCTCTATTGAACTGCACTTTTAATTTTCTTCAACAAAGTATTAAAACAAGGAAATAATCAACACAAATTAACCAATCCAAGTACAGATAAGCTATAGTGGCTTTTACTAAGAAATGAGACTAAGGCCGAAAAATTATTTCCTATTTAGCCACAATTGATATTAAAGAGAGCCTTGGAAAATGTGTCAAGAAAATTATTTTCACTAAGTGCATTGGTATGCTGATGATTTGATAATAATTTGATGATTCATTCCTATTTGAGGACAGACTATGAAGGTGTCATTGCTCGGAAGAAAGTTTATTTTGCCATTTGGTTAAATAAGAAATTGAATTAGTCTAGTAATGCTTTGTCTTCGTATATTAAATAAAATGTCTTTTTTAGCATTAATAAATGTAATGAATCAAGATCAAAATATCTACAATGGGCCTAATCCATCATACCAAGGTAACCACACTTATATGACTCAAGAACCGGCTGGATATATGCCATATCCACCTCGACCCAGTAGGTCTTTCAACTGAATAACTTTCATGCTTTATTTGTATACTTTTACAGGTGGTGGCAATGAATAAATTGAAATATCATTTCAAGCGCCTCCTGTATTACCACGTCCAGGTTTTGCCAAAGGTGAGTTTTATTTTGTGAAACATGATATCAAAGGAGTATTCAAATGCATAGGGTAGAAATTTTCACACTCTCCACCATATCATGACAGACCTTGTATGAATAGCAGTTTGTTACAATATATTAACTATTTTCTTGTTGCATTTCTGCAGGCATACGTAAAAGTATAATGAAGAAATGTATCCCAAAACAGATAGAATACACTAATCATCCTATGATTAACAACAGCAGCTACATCGTGTTTCATGCTTTAATCGTACAAGGATTGCATTAATAGCTTTCAATAATTGAAATTCTTTTATAAAATTATTAACAGATTGAGGATATGCAGATATATGTTCAGATTGCAAATATATCAAAGTAGATATCATTTAAGATATTCTTCTTTGATAATAAAACATTTTCTAATGATGATTTATTTTTCTTTTTATCGCGATTTTGAAAAAAAAAACATAAAAATCGCTGCTATGCTTTAGTTGTATGTATTCATTCTCAGTATGTGTATTGTTATCTTACAGATATATAAGTTAAAAAATCGCGATTCATGTCGAGTATCTATGACACGAACGGACAAATTACAGTTCGATCTTCATATGGAGGTAAGAATTTTTTTTTTATAAACGAAATGAAATACGTTTGCATTTTTCGCTTCTAATTGTCCCAAGATATTAAATGGAATGTTAATATTCTTTTGTCATTGTTTGCCTTTTCTATTCTGTGAAAATTCACAAAGATATAGATATATAGACAGGATCAGTTTGTGATTGCATTCAATATTTTAAAATCATCTAAATGAAGAAGAGCTACAATAAAAATCTAGAAAAAAAGATTTTTTTAATGTTATGTTTTATGAAAAAAAGCAATTAAATCAAAACGAATTACATTAGACTCAAAACTGATAAGTATCCAGAATGAACAATATAGAATCTTTACACGCTCGTAAATGAAGAATTTTTTTATTGTATACCACCAGTTTCTTATTTAGATTTTCTCTTCCGAAGAGAAAATTTCAAAGTAGACGAGACTGAACACCTTTTTTTCGTAAGTATAGACAAATTATATGTCGTACAATAAGCACAAAACCCAGTAGAGTTAAGACGATCTCGTGAGTAGTGTCGCTCTCTCACACTGGATAAAACACTGTACATCGGCATATTTATTAATATAGGACACAAAAACTTTCGATCATAGAACCATATTCACCATTAATTTCACCTTGTTGACTTAGTCAGCGTCTTTTAATTGCATAATTTTTGTTTTTCATATGATATCTATCTTTAATGAGAAATATAAATATGCTACGTAGTTTCGATCCTGTTTTCTATTGTTAATAAGTATCGTTTTTAATTTTTCAATAACTAGACTGAATTGTCTGAATCTTGAAGAAAAGAGTTTTTGATATT